CTTTTCATTTCTATTGCAGTACTTTTGGTTTCCAGCATTTCCTTTAGACCCATGGAGTTTCCAGCTCTACTTACATTGCCATCTATTCTTTCATGTTGTCTAGTTTTTCCATGAGAATCCTTAGAGTATTAATCCCAGTTATTTTAAATTCCCTGTCAGATAATTCTAATATCTGTATCATATCTGAATCTGATGCTTACTTTGCCTCTTCAGACTGTTTCTTTGCTATTAGCAAGTTTTTTTGAAATCTAGACATGATGTATTGAGTAACAAAATTAAATTAATGTCTCTGTAACTGTGAGCTATTATTATAGTTCTTTAAGCATAGGAATGTAATAAAAATATATTTTATCTATTTAGAGTCTGGAGATATGTCTTCCAGTTCTTTTTCTTTAAATGACTAAACATTGTGTCATTTGTGGCAAGTCACTTCGTCCTTCTAGACCTTGATCAGTAAATATTTAAAATGAGGAGTTTGGTTGAAAAGTCACCCCTGAGTTTATCGATCTTTTCATGTTTTTATTTTTCCAGGGCCCTGGTGAAGGTAACAGTTTGCCTGACATCACATCCAACTTCAAGACTGCTGTTATCATATGGACCACTATCAATGCTGGGAACTTGGAAGCTATGGGACATATTGAGTTACATCCACACAGTGCATGACATCATCATCATCATCATCATCATCATCATCATCACTACTACTAGTAGATATAATAGTAGCAGTGTGAAATTCATAGTGAAGTCGGCTGTCTTGTTACTCTCTTGCTATTTCCTTTCTGTGTGGTCACATTTAGTTTCTGACTAAATTCCCAGTACTCAAACCAAAAACCTTTTCTCTCTTTATAATACTTTTTCTCAGGAGATTTTATAACTCTCTTTTAAGGCACATTATAGAAGTTCCAATTTGCTAAGCAACTTGTCTTAGGGCAAATTGACTGATAACAGTCTTGTTAAATCAATATCATGTGTACTTACTCAAGGAGATTCTGGTCTAAAGAAAAGTAAGATAGGCTCTTTCCTTTCCCTTACAAGTAGAATAAAATAAAAAATCTCTTCCTTTTTCAAAGTTAGAGCAAAAGGTCACAGTCCATTTTTGCTCGTAATATAGAAAAGTCTTTCTTAGCTTTTCCTTCATCTTTCCCTCTATGGCATTGTAAAGAGAATGAATGAGTGCTGGGACAGGACATCAGAGGAAGCACTTTTTTCCCTTCTCTCCTACTTGCTCTCTCTAAACCCAGGGTTCTCTGAGTGATGCCTCAGGCCCTTCCAGGGGGTCCATAAAGTCAAAACCGTTTTCCTAATACCAAGACATGATTTGCCTCGTCTATGTCATTTTCTCTCATTTACCTGTGAACATAGAGTGGAGTTTCCCAGAACCTACATGACACGTGATATTATAATAGATTGAATAAGGAAGGATGTGTGAGAATCTAGTGTCTTCTAATAAGCTAAAGATTAAAGACATTTGCCAAAATGCAAACCAATGCCACTCTTCCCCCAAAATACTTTTGTCTTTGAACATACACTTCTCATAAAGACATGATATTTATGTTAATATGCCATGATTTAATTATTAGTTTAAAATACATTAACAAGTGAATATTTAAAATTTTTTTCTTTAATTTTAAATGTGGTAAGTATTAATTGATACTAATCTACATAAAGAAAATCTCTTTATAATATTTAAGAATGCAAAGAGGTACTGAGACCAAGATTTTGAGAACCGCTGCTTAAGATAGTTTCCTCTGTAACTAAGAGGAATACCTAGGCAACAGATAAACCTAAAGTCCAGAACCAAACACCACAGGCACTTACATGCTGAGCTAACTCAAAAGAACTTGGAATATAGCACTTGGAAACCTCCCCCAACCTCCATAACATATTGGACTCAACATGAGCAATAAATGAACTCTTTCATTCAAAATCATGTATAAGATTAGGCTGGATATAATAAAATAAAGGAAGCACTAAAGATATGTGAGAAAGGGAACAAACGGACTATAAATTTTTAATACTCTGTAAGGTGCTCTTACTGTTTCCATAAAATATAGTATTAGTTTGACACACCATGAATTGGTGCGTCTTCAGTGTTTGAGTGCTGTGTATATGGCATCTGTGTATTTGGCTTAAAGTTTACTGTCTGGAACCTATTGTTCTGTCATCCAGTTTTTGATGGCAATGTTACCATAGACTGTACAGGCTCAGAGCAGAGATTTTGGAATCAGGCTGCTTGGGTTTGAATCCAGTTTTTCAATTTAATTAATTTTCTCATCTATAAGATGGGGTTGATAACAATAGCAACTCCATGGAGCTGCTATAAACTTAAAATGAGTTAATACTTGTTACCACTTGATAAGGTCTTGGAACGGTGCTTCTCAATGTAGTGCCTGGGCCATAATACCTGCCATAGTTAATAAATAAACAGAACCTGTGCTTTTGAAAGCACCCTCGTTAAGTATTTTATAATAGTAAAATTTTAGTTAAATGTATAATTTATTTACTAATCTCATTCAAAAATAGGGCCTTGCTATACAGAATTTACAATTCAGTTTGGTACATATAGTTGGATAACTTTTTTAAATAACAAAGACTTTTAACTATTGTGTATTCAAAAGTAAATGATGGGTTTAATATTTTAAAGTCAGGCATGATTTTATTTGTTGTGGTTAAATATTTCACAATAGCTAAACTTCAGATTTTCAATGGAAATTCTTTTGTTTCTATGAAGCTTAGATAGTTGAGCTAGGAGGAATTATTCTCTGAATGCAAGGTGCCTATTGTCTGTTCCATTTAAATAAAAGCTCAAGTCACCATCTTTAAGCTTATTATATAACTCCAGAGTGGTAGGAGTAAACTTTGGGAAAAATTAACACTCTAGTATGTACACTTCACCCAGCAGGAATCCAGTAAGAGTAGAGATGATGACTGCAATGGGTGTTCTTCCAGAAGCGAAGGTGAGGAGCACAGCCTTTCAGGAGTGCCAAACAAATCCTTGTCTGCGGTGTTATATGAGGCACACTGACGCTTTGTGGACGGAGTGGCTTTTCTTCCTCCTGTTTCCCTTTAGGAACAATGGGGACCATCCATACTGTCCCAAAGGGTACGAGATTCTTCTTCTTTACAGCTGCGTAGTATTCCATGGTGTAAATGTCCCACAGCTTTTTTATCCACTCATCTATTTATGGGCACTTGGGCTGTTTCCAGATCTTAGCTATTGTAAACTGCGCTGCTATGAACATCGGAAGCCAGGCAGCGAAAGACAAATATCACATGATCTCGCTTATACGTGGAATCTAAAGAACTTAATAAACTGATGAACAGAATAGATTCAATGACATGGAAGCATAGATGAGACTGA